TATGTATATCAGTCTGTCAGCAGGAATATTTCACGTCTTTGTAAGTACTCTGCTTGACAGGTTGTAAATTATTTCGCTGATGATGTTAGATTATTGTAGGGATGGACATCACGACTCTCCTTACTAAGTCTTCAGTCTGAAATAATTCACACTGAGTGCTCTTATCGCAATTGACGCTGAGTGAATGAAGGCAGTCGTCTGCAGACAGAAATCACCGCATAGGAATTTCGTATTTATTGGCAATTCATACAGCCGTTGCTTTTGTATCAAGGGTATAATAGGTATCCAGTAGGAGAAGTGATATTGCATTCAGTCAGCCCGAGGTCGCTGTAATCTACATACACCTGAAGTCATGTGAAGAATGGTCTGTATCCATATTGTCGCAATCTCACCACCTTCTTCATTCAAAATTCTCCCCTCCAATAAATATATGTATATATCATTGTGAATGATTGTAGGAAACTCACATTTGTGACAAGATTTGTGACAGGTCAAACCGGTTGAATACGCTCAATGATTTCTAGTCTCATGTGAGCAAAAGCACTTCTGCAAATGTCATCTGGCTTGTCTTGAAGTTAATAACTTAGCCACTATCTGACGCAGGTGGTTTCTTACTACTTATATGGACTATTCAGTAGTGCGCAGTGTTACGTTAATTAAACTTTCTTGAGGATATGCGATTATTCAGGAATATTTCTACTTGAGAGGTTTAATAATCAAAATGTAAAATACAGCAAACGCTTTCCAATCACTTATATGTATATCAGTCTGTCAGCAGGAATATTTCACGTCTTTGTAAGTACTCTGCTTGACAGGTTGTAAATTATTTCGCTGATGATGTTAGATTATTGTAGGGATGGACATCACGACTCTCCTTACTAAGTCTTCAGTCTGAAATAATTCACACTGAGTGCTCTTATCGCAATTGACGCTGAGTGAATGAAGGCAGTCGTCTGCAGACAGAAATCACCGCATAGGAATTTCGTATTTATTGGCAATTCATACAGCCGTTGCTTTTGTATCAAGGGTATAATAGGTATCCAGTAGGAGAAGTGATATTGCATTCAGTCAGCCCGAGGTCGCTGTAATCTACATACACCTGAAGTCATGTGAAGAATGGTCTGTATCCATATTGTCGCAATCTCACCACCTTCTTCATTCAAAATTCTCCCCTCCAATAAATATATGTATATATCATTGTGAATGATTGTAGGAAACTCACATTTGTGACAAGATTTGTGACAGGTCAAACCGGTTGAATACGCTCAATGATTTCTAGTCTCATGTGAGCAAAAGCACTTCTGCAAATGTCATCTGGCTTGTCTTGAAGTTAATAACTTAGCCACTATCTGACGCAGGTGGTTTCTTACTACTTATATGGACTATTCAGTAGTGCGCAGTGTTACGTTAATTAAACTTTCTTGAGGATATGCGATTATTCAGGAATATTTCTACTTGAGAGGTTTAATAATCAAAATGTAAAATACAGCAAACGCTTTCCAATCACTTATATGTATATCAGTCTGTCAGCAGGAATATTTCACGTCTTTGTAAGTACTCTGCTTGACAGGTTGTAAATTATTTCGCTGATGATGTTAGATTATTGTAGGGATGGACATCACGACTCTCCTTACTAAGTCTTCAGTCTGAAATAATTCACACTGAGTGCTCTTATCGCAATTGACGCTGAGTGAATGAAGGCAGTCGTCTGCAGACAGAAATCACCGCATAGGAATTTCGTATTTATTGGCAATTCATACAGCCGTTGCTTTTGTATCAAGGGTATAATAGGTATCCAGTAGGAGAAGTGATATTGCATTCAGTCAGCCCGAGGTCGCTGTAATCTACATACACCTGAAGTCATGTGAAGAATGGTCTGTATCCATATTGTCGCAATCTCACCACCTTCTTCATTCAAAATTCTCCCCTCCAATAAATATATGTATATATCATTGTGAATGATTGTAGGAAACTCACATTTGTGACAAGATTTGTGACAGGTCAAACCGGTTGAATACGCTCAATGATTTCTAGTCTCATGTGAGCAAAAGCACTTCTGCAAATGTCATCTGGCTTGTCTTGAAGTTAATAACTTAGCCACTATCTGACGCAGGTGGTTTCTTACTACTTATATGGACTATTCAGTAGTGCGCAGTGTTACGTTAATTAAACTTTCTTGAGGATATGCGATTATTCAGGAATATTTCTACTTGAGAGGTTTAATAATCAAAATGTAAAATACAGCAAACGCTTTCCAATCACTTATATGTATATCAGTCTGTCAGCAGGAATATTTCACGTCTTTGTAAGTACTCTGCTTGACAGGTTGTAAATTATTTCGCTGATGATGTTAGATTATTGTAGGGATGGACATCACGACTCTCCTTACTAAGTCTTCAGTCTGAAATAATTCACACTGAGTGCTCTTATCGCAATTGACGCTGAGTGAATGAAGGCAGTCGTCTGCAGACAGAAATCACCGCATAGGAATTTCGTATTTATTGGCAATTCATACAGCCGTTGCTTTTGTATCAAGGGTATAATAGGTATCCAGTAGGAGAAGTGATATTGCATTCAGTCAGCCCGAGGTCGCTGTAATCTACATACACCTGAAGTCATGTGAAGAATGGTCTGTATCCATATTGTCGCAATCTCACCACCTTCTTCATTCAAAATTCTCCCCTCCAATAAATATATGTATATATCATTGTGAATGATTGTAGGAAACTCACATTTGTGACAAGATTTGTGACAGGTCAAACCGGTTGAATACGCTCAATGATTTCTAGTCTCATGTGAGCAAAAGCACTTCTGCAAATGTCATCTGGCTTGTCTTGAAGTTAATAACTTAGCCACTATCTGACGCAGGTGGTTTCTTACTACTTATATGGACTATTCAGTAGTGCGCAGTGTTACGTTAATTAAACTTTCTTGAGGATATGCGATTATTCAGGAATATTTCTACTTGAGAGGTTTAATAATCAAAATGTAAAATACAGCAAACGCTTTCCAATCACTTATATGTATATCAGTCTGTCAGCAGGAATATTTCACGTCTTTGTAAGTACTCTGCTTGACAGGTTGTAAATTATTTCGCTGATGATGTTAGATTATTGTAGGGATGGACATCACGACTCTCCTTACTAAGTCTTCAGTCTGAAATAATTCACACTGAGTGCTCTTATCGCAATTGACGCTGAGTGAATGAAGGCAGTCGTCTGCAGACAGAAATCACCGCATAGGAATTTCGTATTTATTGGCAATTCATACAGCCGTTGCTTTTGTATCAAGGGTATAATAGGTATCCAGTAGGAGAAGTGATATTGCATTCAGTCAGCCCGAGGTCGCTGTAATCTACATACACCTGAAGTCATGTGAAGAATGGTCTGTATCCATATTGTCGCAATCTCACCACCTTCTTCATTCAAAATTCTCCCCTCCAATAAATATATGTATATATCATTGTGAATGATTGTAGGAAACTCACATTTGTGACAAGATTTGTGACAGGTCAAACCGGTTGAATACGCTCAATGATTTCTAGTCTCATGTGAGCAAAAGCACTTCTGCAAATGTCATCTGGCTTGTCTTGAAGTTAATAACTTAGCCACTATCTGACGCAGGTGGTTTCTTACTACTTATATGGACTATTCAGTAGTGCGCAGTGTTACGTTAATTAAACTTTCTTGAGGATATGCGATTATTCAGGAATATTTCTACTTGAGAGGTTTAATAATCAAAATGTAAAATACAGCAAACGCTTTCCAATCACTTATATGTATATCAGTCTGTCAGCAGGAATATTTCACGTCTTTGTAAGTACTCTGCTTGACAGGTTGTAAATTATTTCGCTGATGATGTTAGATTATTGTAGGGATGGACATCACGACTCTCCTTACTAAGTCTTCAGTCTGAAATAATTCACACTGAGTGCTCTTATCGCAATTGACGCTGAGTGAATGAAGGCAGTCGTCTGCAGACAGAAATCACCGCATAGGAATTTCGTATTTATTGGCAATTCATACAGCCGTTGCTTTTGTATCAAGGGTATAATAGGTATCCAGTAGGAGAAGTGATATTGCATTCAGTCAGCCCGAGGTCGCTGTAATCTACATACACCTGAAGTCATGTGAAGAATGGTCTGTATCCATATTGTCGCAATCTCACCACCTTCTTCATTCAAAATTCTCCACTCCAACTCATGTGAGCGGTATATAAATCATTGTGAAATTTTTTATGCCCACACAATTATGTCCAAATACTCAGTGATACCTTTTGCTGATCAAATTCTACGTGATTCAGTTTATATACCATGTGGAATCTATAATTAAATATAGGATAATCAGAATAAGTGATTCTCTGATCTTTTATTTGTATTATTTCGTGATATTTTTTCAAGTAATTTTTAAAGATGTTAAATATTTTCCAATACCATGTATTGACTTTCATTGGTGTTGTTGACTGATTTAAATCCAATAAGGTGTCGAATGTTGAGAAGTCTACCCAACAACATGAGTGCTTTTGGAGGGATAAAGCATAAACAAAACATCATACAGAATAGGATGAGTTGATCGTTGGCTTCACCTGGTTCATCTCCACCTGTGTAAAATCCGAATGTCATTTGTCTGCAAATGATGACAGATACAAATCAGAAGACGACATTTAGATGTTCAGATGCTCTATTCACAGACAATTATGTAAATATTAATTATAGAATTTTAATACTTCCTGGATCCCAAGACGCGTAAATTTTTGTTTGTCTGATATACTGCACTCAACCTCGGTCATCTATACACACAGCAGTTCACCAGTTTCACTAACTATGCTTAAGATACATAAATATATTTACATAAGTTCTTGTGCATATATATTCATATTGGAATATATCTGTTCATGTTTACACTTACATTACTGTCAGTTACCCCAAGGGAACGGAAACAGTCTCATCGAGATCAACACAGCCAGTCTCTCTCCAATCATGACTGTCAACACCATAGAGATTAGAATGAATTCACTCGATGAATCACTTCATCTGCTTTAATACATTGATCATTGTGAGCGTGACCACCAAATGTTATTCCACATTCGCATTGAGTCAGATGATCAAACTTACCTCTTAAGGTGTTTTCATTCCTTATTTTAGTGTCATTATTGAAGTGTCTATTCGAATAATAACGGATAACTCAATTACCAGTTTAACTGGTCAATTAGCATGATCGTGTTATGATCGAGTGATTGTGAATGACGACGTCTTCGGATGTGCATATCATGAGCATCATCACGTGGATTATTATGATCAGTGTTTTTCTCTTCACGCATGTAGGTTAAGTGGTATGACTGATCGAATGATGCCAGTGAACACTCAGGTAATTACAGATGACTGTTTTTCATAAAGTAACAAGTTACAATAGCGTCATGAGTGAGAAATCGATTTCATTATAAATAACATCAATCTCCATGTACTCATACTCCATGTACTAATTTTCATCAATGTAGTAGAGATGACTGTAAACTTATACACTGATACAAGGATTAATGTCAGTCTGAGGTTTGGGATTTGTGGCACAGTTCAAATAGATTGTCATAATATTTCAACATTTTGACACTGAATGGTCAATCTTATGATTCTGGTTGCATTTCGAGCAAAACTACTGATCGTGATCACACCAAATGTTAGAATTGTTTGTTTTTAATCCACACTTCTGTGATTTGTAATCATATCGATATGGTCAATATTTTGTTCATTCATATCTGTGTATTCAGAATACTATTCCAGTTCTGTGATAGTTATGCTGTGTAGGCCTTCTTACATGTGTCTGCCGTGATCTTAATGTCATCAGCCTCCTATTCCATTAGTTCACATTTGATTTCAGAACACAAACGTTTTCACAATCAATGTTGTGATTTCTGCCTCGTGCATGTGCAGATGAATTTCTTAGATAAGATGAATTTCTTTCTAAATTATTGTCAGCTTATGATCCTGTAGAATTATCTTCCGTTAGGGGTTGATGTGTGTTAAATCTCATCTTGAGTGATCTATATTTTGATCCACATATTCAGTCGAAACATTCGACAAAAGATATTTTATAAATTACCCTTATATTTTTCCATCGTTTTTTTGAATATTTTAGCTAAACTATATAATTTCTAGGTAGACTCAGTGATTTGAACGTGACACGACTGCCAATAATTTTGTCGTTTCTTTGAATTCGCCTCTGATGCGCCATTCTGGTGTGAAATTGCGACCCATTTTTGTTTACAGTGCCTTTGATCTCGGTTTCTGTTTTTACTCTCTATAATTTACCCTTCTTTGCATTATCTCTGATCAATATTTTCGAGTAGTTGTTGTCGAGATACATTTTGAATAAGACAATGATTTCTTTCCATTGGTCATGATCCGGTATAGTCTGCGTATTAAATACTGTTGGTATGTAGGTTGTGTGCTACTTAGTCAACTGGTTACTATCAATCGACAGATGTCTGAATTCATGTGAGATGTCGTCTTAATTCATATTGTGTGACACACAACAACCCCTCTATTCAGAATTCTCCCTCACTCGCATCTGTCAGTTCCCTTACTCGTGTGGAGCCGGACGTGTCGTTCACACTCGAAGGGTGTTCTCAGAAAGTTTCGTCAAAATCTTACTCTCATGGTTCGATAGAGAAGGAAAACCTTTCGACGTCAACACCCGTATACTGGAAGGCCTGATCGAATCTGGCCGCCAAGCTAATCAAGAATGGAACTCAAAATTTATTCGCAGACCAAACAAGACACTTTCTAGAACAGTAAGAATGAATATTCTTTTAACCGCAGAGGTGATGCCAATCCACATGTTAAATCATGAACTCTGAATTTAAAACGAGTTTGCTCCAACAAGATATCTGCAGGCATTACATAATAATTTGTTTATTAGATGTATCACACAGTGAAACAGTATTATTCACTGGATGACGTTTCGAACAAAATCTATTGTTCATAATCATATCAAATGTAATCACATGAATTTGAAACTCGAGTTTTATGGTTTTCTTCGTTGTCTTCTATTTTTCGTATGGGCAGTAGAATTTTCCAGATATCTGGCACAGGTACTAAATCATTCCTATTACATGTATTTGGCGTTGATTCGATAAACAAAGCTTCTGTTATCAATCTTTCCTTAAACCCTGTGACATTAGATTTTAAAAGTGTCATCCCATCCCATCCTATTGTATGGTGGTGTGCGTGATTGCATGTAATGCTACCGCTGAACTATTCTCCAAATTTCTTATCTTATTTGGGTCAACCAATCTAGATTTCACTGAGTTTTTATGTTCGATTAGTCTGACTGCCCTTGTTCTACAAGTTTGACCTATGTGTTTGACCTGAAAATCATTGCAAGAATGACCCTCATGAATTCCAACGTCTACAGATTCGCTACTGATGATTTAGATTCCTTATTGTTGGTGTCGTCATTAATATTATTATTATTATCACTATCGTTACTATCATTACTAACCTTATTTTTACATTTCTTACATATTTCCTGACTAATTTATCCATGTAATTATCACGTTTCAAGGCTTCTTTTATGTGTATCACTTCCTGTCGTATATGGAAATACTCTCTACCATAGTGCCAAAGTTTTACACATAGATTAATATTTGCAGTCATCCTGAACATTCTGAACACTGGATAAGCGATTTGGAAATTCGTTTCTCAGCTGAATAATTCTTTTCTCTCACGTCACTACTGAATTTCTATCTCTAATTTCCACTATTGTTTTTCGGCTTGGCTTTAATTAAAGAGGCAGTATTACGAGGACAAGAGTAGGCCTTTGGATGTCAGTCAGCCACTGTGTATTCTTTCGATGAATGCGAAAATAGGACTGTGGGCATGGTGTGATACATGTCAACTGAAACCATGAACTGATAATAGATTCTACGAACACTCGACTCCATGGACCATTAATGTATATGTTCACACAATTCGAAGACTCACAGGCGAAAACTAGCCACTTGCAGATGAAGCAACAATATAGGACTAGAAGTGAACACACCGAGACACGGTGGTGATAAAGTAACTCACCAACAACATCAACAAGATAAACGATACCAACAGTCACCAAACAGTAAATGGAAAATCCCTATACTGAAATCAAAACAAGATTCTGAGCGCACGATTGTTTTCGATAACTTCTTCAGGCTCTACAGTTATGTATCCAAGATTAATAGAGTATATATACCCAATAAAGGCAAATGAAAATAATATCAGAAACTGTATCGTGGTGCATGTGTTAGTTGAGATAGTAGTTCATTATTTAGCATAGTCACTTATATGTGTATAGGGTGTATAGTCAGAAAAAATGTGATGAAGTGTGAATGAACAATTGAGTGATGTAGTATTGTTTTATAGTTAACAGAATACAATTGTCCTTGGGGTGAGAGAAATGCGGTAACCATAAAATACATACAAACACATTAACAACGGAGGCACAGGATGTGAGAGCTGACCGATAGTGTCTAATGTTAAAATAAAGAGGCTTAATTGTAAATTGTAATAAGATGTTACAAAATTGGTAGGCTTAGTTTAAAATCATAAAGGTTGACAAAATAAGGGTAGCAATGAGGTGAAATAAACTGGGTGGAGAAATGGATAATAGAGACATGATATCACAAATTAATAATAATGATAAAAATAGTACGAAAAAATTATGATCCTGGTGACTTTATAGTGGGCCAGGGTAGACAAAGAGAGTGAATAAGTTTTTTTCTGTACACCTAGATCTGGTCTTTCTCTATTAATGTCTGATACCTCAGCTATGGCTAGGAGGCGTAATCGTATGCCTTTGGGGAGATTGTTCGGTACCCGATACACAACTGTAAATGACTCATCTACTTTGATGCTGTGTTCACTATGCACTAGATGAGACAGAATTGCACTATTTACTTATTTGTTTGCTCTTCTCCCAAGCCAAACAGGAATATGTTCACGAGTGCGTAGAGATAAATTCCTCTGGGTGCGACCTATATAACTAGCTCAATAGGAGCAGTTGAATTTATATACACACGTTGATGTCGCCATTTTAGGCAATCTATCTTTAATGCACAGTGTTAATATCGGTTTGGTTGAGAAACTGACATACAGTTTTGCGGCATTAAAAGTTCTTTCAAATTATCTTGTTAATCTACGGTTTAATATATCACTGGCTATAATCACCTTTGAATTGTACATTTAAGTAAAGCTTTTTCTTACTTACTGTGTCTCGCTTGTTATTATGTGTAGTTTCGTAGATATACTTCTTTACAAAGTTGGTAGGTAAGTCATTTTGTAGCAAGGCGTTTGTAAGATTTCTTATTTCATCTTCACTACAGTTGTCAGTACATATGCATCTAATTCTATGACTAAGACAACGAATTAGGTTGCGCTTATATTGTGTAGATATGAAGCTGTAGAAGTGGGTGTATTGTCCGTTCCACGTCGCTTCCCTATAGATATTTCTTTTTAAAGTACCGTCTGATCTTTTTGTGAGAAGAACATCCAAAAATGGAAAACGACCTTGGAGTTCCTCTTCACAAGTGAATTTAATAGCTGCGTGTGCCTTATTGAAGACTTGGAGCAGGTAATGTCTATCGAAATTATTGTTGCAAATGATAAAGTTATCTTCAACATATCGACAATAATAATCGAGTTGGTTTAGTGTCTCTTTTAAAGGACCATTTTCCAATGAGGAAGAAATATGCCAGCTAATAAGGAACCAAGGAGAGAGCCCATAGCAACCCCATCTATTTTGCGGTAATACTCCTTTATTAAATACAAATTGAACGTTCATAGTGCATTTTAGTAGTAACTCTTTCAATTTTCTTGGTGTGATTCCAATTTCTACTTTCTTTTCTACGAGTTGTTCACATATATAGTCGATAGTTTCTACAAGGGGGACGTTGGTAAATAGTGATGTTACGTCCAGCGATAACACAGGTTTGTCTGCTAGGTTCATATCTTTAGAGTTTTTAACAAAGTTAAAGAAATCTTTTACACTATATTTAACCAACAGAAAATGTAGCGGTTCTAACAGTTTTACTAACCATTTGGCAGTTAAATGGAAGGGCAAGTTCAACATGTCCAGAATTGGTCTTAGGGGGATTCCATGCTTGTATATCTTGGGTAAGCCATAAAGTCTAGGCGTGTGAGCTCCAGTGGGCTTAATAGCGTCGAAGATGGAACTATCAATTCGATTTTCATTTTTTAAAGACATTAAAGTTTTAACGAACTGGCATTCTGTTGCTTCATTCGAATCTTTACTGTTACCTAACTTTTGAGACTTGGAACGGTCTTCCAGTAT